CGCGCGTAGGACTTGTTATGAGATTTGTGAGCTACACGTGTCGTTGGCAGTGCCGGCGTGTGAGCTATGGAGTTCCGTCCCTCGGTTGGACTACTCATCCCTGGACGCAGGTTAGTGTTCAGAAATCCTGCGTACCAGCTAACAATCCCCCGGTTGGATTGTCTCCCCGGTACATTAGTATGAGAGAAGTATATATTATATTAAAGTCCTAGCTATATATATATATATATTTATATATGGGTATTTACGGGTTAATGAGAGTTATATATCATTGGGAAATGAGTTGTGGACTTGAGATGTGGAGATGTTTTGGACTTTGGGATTTTGTGTTGAATTTTGGTTTCTAAATTGTGAAACTGCATGCTAGAGCATTATTTTTACATGGTGGGGTTACTATGTTGATTTAAAGTGAAACTTTATTTCTGTCCACTCACATATTTCTGTTTTGCGCCCCCCAGACAGTAGTTGCTTTTGGAGGCATTCGAGCAAGTCACGAGCTCCGAACTTGTCGTCAGTTGTTAGGGTCTGTATAAATTCTTTCTACTCTACTGTTTGTTGTAAACAAATTCTGTAGACGCTCTGTTATCGCCCATGTTAGGCTACTACTTGAGGCCGGAAATCAGACTGGAATTCCAGTCCAGTTTTGAGATTTCTCAAATTTTCACCCCCAAAAATACATGGATTAGAGAAGCTTTTTGGAGGCCAAACTCAAAATTTGAGTTTCCACCCCTTGGGTTGGAGATGGTTTTACCAGTGGCTTTTGCTCCAATTTCTGATAGAAAGATATTGAGTGATGTATAACATGTACATGTACACTAGCCATAAAACAAAAAAACATGGGAACAGTACACATTATGACAACAGAATATGTCAAAGAGGCCTACCCATCCGTTATATTTTACATCTAGTCCAAATCAATAGCTTTCTTGGGCAATATATTTTACTAGTTATATGTCCCTTTTTCACTTGGGGAAGCCAACTCAATAGAATATTCAGCGTCTTGGGTTGCTTGACCATTGAGATTCAGATCGCCACGCTCGGTAGAAGGCGTTCGCAGCTCTTCAAGAACAATGTGTGATTCAGTGGGGTTTGACATTGAATTGCTTGATGACCTTAGAGGATAGTTGATGTTCGGTGACGATTCAACCGCACCTATGCCATGAACAACAGCCTCTTGCAGTGTGCTCTTCTTAAAAGTATGCGTATTGAGGTCCTTTTGGTCAAATACTCTTGATACCGCAAGAATCCTTCTCCATAATGAGGCTTTTGAATCAAAGCTTGTCAAGGTGTGCATATTCTCATAGAGGAACATCGCTACAAAAATGACGAGAGCTAACGAAGAAGCAACCCCAGCAATGAGGAAGAGGCCCCAAAAGCTGTAAAGGCCAAGAGTCAGACTGTTGGTGAAGGCTGCCGCGGTGTTGAGGTTTGCTGAACAGCTTGCATTTTTGTTGAACCACTTGTCCTCGATGTGCCTCATGACATCTCCCTCACGTACAAGAGTGATTGCCCTCGAAACGTCGCGTGTGAGAAGTGAACCTTTTTGGAAGACCTGCAACTCACCAAAACGTAAAGGAACATGAGAACACCAACTGCAAGATGCTCACTTCTCTGTTTGCATACTTTTAAGAAGAGAGTGGGAGATCCAAAAAGAATTTAAGAAAGAGAAACAAAAACAAAATGAATTACTTACAAAGGCAAAACCGTCAGCTTTAACTGGTGGCTCAACCATGCTATAATTTGAGCAGTAAGTTGCATGAAAAAGTTTCATATAAGGAGTTTCACCAAAAGCAGCTGAAATGCCATGATTTTCATTCCCGTCTTGAAAAAGTTGGTTCAAGTATTGTGTCGAATTAAAGGCCTTCAATTTGTCCTCCTGAAATCCTACTTGTTTCAAGATCTCATAAACAAAAGAGTTTACTTGGTAGCCAACATTGTCTCCATTCTTCATGAGCAGGTTTACATCGGTGACGGTTGGTTGGAGCTGTTGGACTGTTAAAAATGATGTTAAACTGGCAGTATAACTTTGAGTCAGTATGAGGACAACAAAGCACCATATCATCACTACAAACCTAGCCAAGTTGCTTACTACTCTCTCCCCTGTAACAAAAATTCACAACACAAAAGGACTTCATGACAAGAACGAGTCATATGGAATAAGTAATAAAAATTATTTTCTACGGAGACCACTGCAGAATATTCATGACAGTAACTTACGGTGTGCGAAAACCATGGTTGAGAAGGAGAACCACAAACTTGTACCAATTTGGTGATGCGGAGGGCCGCGAAAGTCTTCGTTAATCCGATGTTCAAGAACCCAGACCACAAAACCAATGAATATGAAAAAACAACCGCTTGTAACCCAAAGGTCCCAGGTCAAAGGCTTCAAGAACACCCATGTGTTTCTAGGATTATTGTTGTCTTTGATAGGCACAATCATTGATATCCCAGAATCTGTGTATGGCAATGTAAAGTCAACATACAAGGATCTGTTTGCTCTAATACTTATATCTCCAACTGCAACATCAAATTTCTGTCAAGTAAAATTTTCAACATTTCAGAAAGTATAAAAGTGAATTCAGAGAGAACAGAAAAAGCACAGCAAACGAGTTGTACCCCGAGAAACACTTGATTTACCAACTCATTGTAAGTGCCAGCGCTCTCTCCATTAGGCATTGCAAAGGGAATATACTCGTAAAGAACAGGATATGGTAGTGCGCTTATTACAGCTTGAAAGACATCTATGCAGTATCCACCAGTGACACTGGTTATGTGATTGCTAGGATCATATGTCACATTCACTAATTCTTTGAATCCCATGTTCACCGGCACTATGACTCTTAAAATATTTCCAGTAGGAATCTCCCAACCTTTCGGAGTGGACATGGTCTCTCCCGGCCATATAATAGGTCCAAGATTGGCATTAGAAGTAGAATATGTGCTTGTGTTGTTCCAATTTAATTTTCTTACAAGTCCATTTTGGGGTGTCCAAAATCCAACTCCTCTTTCCCCATTGTCGTTCATATTAATTACCTGAAAAGTTGATGATTGTAATTGGCCTTTAATAAGGCCAAAATCTCCTGAAAGCCCTTTGAATCTTGTACGCGATATTTCTCGGGCAAGTTGAGGACCACTTTGAGAGACCTCCAATCTTCCCAAATAAGTTGAATTAGGAGAAATGTTCATCTTTTGGAAGCTGAAGTTCGTACCCGCAACCTTCTCAACTGCCATGGCTAGTGCCCAAGCAGCATCATAAGCCCACAGTCCAAAAACATTCAATTTATCATCTGTGATAGTTGGATTGTCTTGCTGGAATTTCCTTTGCCATCGAGCTCTAAAATTTTCAAGTTCTTTTGTGTTTGGAACGTAAATCTTTAAACCCAACACCCCTTGCATATTATCCATGACAGAAAAATTTGAGGAACTAAAAACGTTGGTCATCCCACTTGTCACTATCCATACATAGCCTTCATCCATCATGCCAAACTCCTTTGCCTTGGCGAAAAACCGAAAGCCAAGCAAAGGCAAGATATGCACTATGAAGACCCTGGTTCGCATTGTCATCAACTTGTAAAGCTCTACCAATATTTGATCATCAGTGGCCATTGGAGAAATAACACTCCAATATGGTATACGAACACCAACGGCTTGCAAGGCAGTAGTGAGGTAAGGTGACCCGAACTCGCTGTCAATGGTGATGAGAACTGCTTCACTCCAACCAAAGGCTTGGATGATGGTGCTGATGGCTTCAACTTGAGATGAGTCGTTTTGTGCAATTCGGAATAAATATGAACCCCCAAGGGAAGGGCTTGTTGCTGTAAATGAGATGATGGGCACCTGAGCTTTATCTCCAAGACTAATTACAAAGCTGGCTTGCATTGATGATTCTAGCCCTATGATGGCTTGCACTTCAACGTTGTTTATTAAGTCTAAAGCTGCTTCAAAGTGAAAATTTGAAATTGAATTAAACTTGTTGACATGTAGGATAACCACAATTTAAGGTTTCTTTGTCTAATTCTTCTTAATATAAATAGATCACTTGCCAACCAACTAGCTCTAGTGATATTTCTATTCTCAATATTGGAAGAGTTCCTAAGTTTGAAACTCTCCACCTCCATTAGTTGAAAAAGATAAGTAACTTCCCTTCTTAAAAACCAATAGACTAGATTAATTGATGATAATGGAGGTTTTGGAAGGAGGTGATGAGGCGTTCCAAGAGGAGCGCATCGGGGCAATGAGAAGGTGTTTTGCTGGAAGCACACTGTTTTTTCATGAATTTCACATGAGTTTTTGATGTCTTATGGTTTTGTTTGTACCCAATTTTGGTAAGCGGACCAAAAATGGTCTAAAGGGTTAAAAAAATATTTTAAAGATAAAGTCAGGCCTATTAGCACTTTTCTTTTCTTAGGGGATCATCTTTTTCCCAATGGGCCTCTTTGAATGAATCAATAAGAAGGCCCAAATCGTGAAAATCGGACCTTTATCTCACACTACATGTTAAAAAATCGCAAGAAAACGAGTTGTATTGAAGCCTCCAAAACTAGAGAAAGATCAAAATTGCCAACCAAGTTTTCAAGTACAAAAAGGTCAAATCAAGAGAGCTTCACAAAGAAAATTGACAGTTCTTGCCAGAAATCTTCCATCATTCCCTCTATGAACCAATTAAGATCAACAGACCAATAGCTGACCTTGAAACAAAAGCCAAAGGTCTTGTCGCAGTTTCCATCATTATGAGCTCATTCTGCCTCTATAAATAAAGAAAGTCTACCTCAGAAGAAGGGGACTCTCTCCCCAAAACCAGACGCAACGTCTCAAAAAACACTTGAAAATCTTCAAGACAACAATCTGCTCACTCTCTAGATAACCAATTGACAACTCCTGTGTTTAACTCTCGTAGCTCTACCATATCCATGGTATGATTTTCTTTTAAGAAGTAATCTGTTTCAATTCAAGTCATCATTTGGCTGGATCGAGAAATCTTCGGTTTCTTTATCTTTACTTTGTAATTTGGATTTAAAGATAATTGATGGATTAATTGAAGAAGTTTATGTTATTTAGTTTGCACTCAAATTAAATATAAGTTGCAGGAAAAATTTATATAAGTAAAGTTCACTTAATTATCTAAAAATGAATCACGGACTATTTTAATACATAAAAGTGGATTCCCGCCTTCTTCCCTTTAAAAATCCAAAAGAGCTAGCGTTCGGGGCCGAAAGTGAACAGGGGCCCGAATAAAACAGTAAAAGACAAAAGGGGTAGGAAGTTAAGTTGGGTCCAAATCGCCCCACTGGGCCCGAATTAATTATTAGTCCAGCTTGAGGACGAGAAAATTTTGAAGCAAGTTGATGAAACCCAGATAGGGTCTTACTAACCACGAACTTGGTTTCTCTCTCTTACTTGTTCAGATACTGCTCATACTTGTCAGGTTGATATTCAGGAAGGGAAATATATTGAAGTCCTCTTAATTGAGACATAGAAAAGAATCAATCTAGGCCAGTACCCCCCCTAAAGCACAATGGCTTGAGAAGAAGTCTAGAGAAGGCGCGCAAACTCCTTCAGCATTAATCATTCATAAGTATCTACACCAGATCTATTGGGCTGGTTACATACCTAATAGTGGCATGCCTACGCAACACCACGAATCAGCGCCAAGAAAAGTTTACTGATAGGGCCTCGACCAAGCCCGTTCACTTTTGGCAAACTGATTCAACTTTCAATTTTGTCCAGAAATTGAAGGAATCCTCTCTTCGAGCCAAGAGACACCATCCAATCAGGCCATTGGTGTTGATCCAGCAATCCTCTTCCTTCCTCAGAGCAAAGCCGACCCCCGCGGACGGCGAAAAGGAATAGAGTACGAATAAAAAGGACCAACAAGTTTCATGGTTGT